TTGTATAATTTTGAAATTTGAAGCAAAAACAGAATGGTTTGACTTCAGTTTTGTGAAACTATACATAAAAATATCTGCATGAAACAGAAGCAGCAGCAGAGCTGAATGAGACGCAGATTCACTCTCTGCCAGCAGGTGGCGCTTAAAGCGTTTCCTTGGTTTCCGCTGTAAACAAAGCAGCGCTGCACTTATGAACTCTAATATGCTTTATGAGGAAAGATGAAAAGAAAAAATACCATCTAAACTTTTCTAAAGACAGTAAGTTCCCCTCAGACATACATTCATATAAACTCCTATCCCTAATTGAATCGCGATTTGTTTAGCATCTCAACCGATTTGAATCGTCACATATTTGAATCGATTTTCAACAGACTCGCGGTTAATCGTTATATCCCTACTAGAGAATGCTCCAGATATACCCACCAATTAGTTTGCAGTGTTTTACGGTAGTGTGTTCATCATTTAACGTTATGGAGAGTGCCCTCAAGTGACATAGCCTTGAATACTTCTGTCTTAGTTCATTAGAGAGCATTTAGATTATCCTTTAACTCCTAGCCTTTATGATAGGGTGAATCTATAACTGGGAAATTGCTTCTGTGTATTTAATGAGTCAGTGAAGGGTTTCATCTAGAGCTACAATGAAGCAAAAGGAAAAGAAGTTGTCACTACTCAACTCATTATGCAGAACTATCATGTAATAGGTCATGGCCACCTGATCTAGAATGTTTATCTAGTTTGAAATCCAATTAAAATCAAGAGTTTTCATATTCACTAATTTTTGATGCTGACTCTGAGAAGAAAGTGAGATCATTGTCCCTCCGCTGCATGCAGTTAGTCACACAGCAGGGGTGTTTCAGTTCGTCTCACTCTGCTGTGCTCAGCCTTTATTTTAGAGGTGTTCGTTGGTCTCTGCTCAACTGAATTGGATCATTTAAAGACCGCATGAATTTAAAATAGGAGACTGTGGTCTTTAGTATAGCTCTATTAACATAATATGAGGCCATCAATATGCTTATGCACTCTCATAACTTGACAGTTACCCTCCTCTTATTCACCACGGTTGAATGAACAATGAATGCAAGATTATATACACAAACAAATCACAGCCAATATGTCTGAAAGAAAAATAGTATTAATAATTACTTAACAATTACAAACTTATTATTTCAGACATTTGTTAATAATCATCCATTTTACACACATAGTTTAAGAGACATACTTAAAAAAAGGTCATTTTCACTAGTTTCATAGTTTTGATTAGAATATAACACGTCCAATCCGGCGGTTGCATATGGTCTGGCCATATTTGTCATATTTTAACACATCTGAAGCAAAAATTGGACTCAACAATTCTGCATATGCATGTTACCAGAACTCCACTCAGCTCCTGTAATACTTTCAATTATAACTGAATGACTTCTGATCTGTTCTTTTTTGGAGATGGTTGAAAGGCAACTTGATTTCGAAAACAATTATAGCATTAACAAAAACTGCAATATAATTTCATCCCTAGTTGTAATGGAGTTCCGTCTCCTGCATGGCACTGATAGACTGAGAGTGTCTTCAAAGGGAGGTAAATTATCTCTAGATCAGATGATTTTTCAGTGATTTTTTTTGTATGATTAGATGTTGTTTCCTCTGAGTCCTTTATCAGATGTGCAAATTAGGCATGAAAACAGTGGCAAATGCCACTGACTGCACTCTGCAGTCATAAATGACAGGAAATTACTGATCCATTTATGAGCCCTGAAATTTTATGGCACAGCTTTAGTACCACCGACCAGTCC